TTAAAAGTATATTATATTGTGCCAGCATGGTTCTCTGTAATTTAACCTGCCCTTCACACAGCCGAGGTTAAACATAAGCACCAATCTTCAGGTGTTCAGCTACTGTCTTGGGTCTCCTGGATAATTTGTCTGCTGCCTTGCCCACTGACACAACAACTGTATATGTTAGGACAAAGTTTGAACCATTTCCTCAAGTTTCTAATACAACAGTGACATTGCAGAGGAGAGGGGCAGATGGAGCAGAAGATGCAGAGGAGAGGGTCAGATGGAGCAGAAAAATGCAGAGGAGAGGGGCAGATGGAGCAGAGGATGCAGAGGAGAGGGGCAGATGGAGCAGAAGATGCAGAGGAGGCAGATGGAGCAGAGGATGCAGAGGAGAGGGCAGATGGAGCAGAGGAGCAGGAGAGGGGCAGATGGAGCAGAAGATGCAGAGGAGAGGGTCAGATGGAGCAGAAGATGCAGAGGAGAGGGGCAGATGGAGCAGAAGATGCAGAGGAGAGGGGCAGATGGAGCAGAAGATGCAGAGGAGAGGGTCAGATGGAGCAGAAGATGCAGAGGAGAGGGGCAGATGGAGCAGAGGATGCAGAGGAGAGGGGCAGATGGAGCAGAGGATGCACAGGAGAGGGGTAGATGGAGCAGAAGTCTTTACCTCCCAGACTCGTACGTGTCTGTCAGTGCCTCCGGTCAGCAGCAGGCTTCGGTCTGGACTGAACCGGACGACCTTCTGCAGAGGGTCCTGAGGGTTCTCGTCGGACTGGACCTCACCCAGACCCTGCACCTGGATCTGAGCCGTCTCGTCCTTCAGCTCCGTGCAGTCTCCAGAGTCCGGCACAGGTTTATTCCCTTTACCTGCTCTCCTCCGGGGGGCGCTCTGCTGACTGCTGTCATCTGCTGAAGAGACCGAGTGCACACAAGTTACTCTACTAGTCCTGGGTTTGATTCCTCAGTTTTAAGTCCTCAGTTTTAAGTCGTCAGTTTTAAGTCCTCAGTTTTAAGTCCTGGGTTTGAGTCCTCGGATTTAAGTCCTCGGTTTTAAGTCCTCGGTTCGAGTCCCGGGTTTGAGTAGGTCCTGAGTTTAGTCCTGGGTTTAAGCCCTAGGTTTAAATCCTTAGTTTAAGTCCTGGGTTTACATCTTGGGTTTAAATCCTAAATTTAAATCCTGGGTTTAAGTGAGTCCTGGGTTTGAGTCCTTGGCTTGAGTCCTGGGTTTGAGTCCTGGGTTTGAGTCCTGGGTTTGAGTCCTAGGTTTAAGTCCTGAGTTTAAGTGAGTCCTGGGTTTGAGTCCTGGGTTTAAGTCCTGAGTTTAAGTGAGTCCTGGGTTTGAGTCCTGTGTTTAAGCCTTAGGTTTAAATCCTTAGTTTAAGTCCTGGGTTTACATCCTGGGTTTAAATACTAAGTTTAAATCCTAAATTTAAGTCTTGGGTTTAAGTCCTGGATTTAAGTCCTGAGTTTAAGTGAGTCCTGGGTTTGAGTCCTGGGTTTGAGTCCTGAGTTTAAGTGAGTCCTGGGTTTGAGTCCTGGGTTTGAGTCCTGGGTTTGAGTCCTGGGTTTAAGTCCTGAGTTTAAGTGAGTCCTGGGTTTGAGTCCTGGGTTTAAGCCCTAGGTTTTAATCCTTAGTTTAAGTCCTGGGTTTACATCCTGGGTTTAAATCCTAAGTTTAAATCATAAATTTAAGTCCTGGGTTTAAGTCCTGGGTTTAAGTCCTGAGTTTAAGTGAGTCCTGGGTTTGAGTCCTGGGTTTGAGTGAAAGTTTGAGTGAAAGCTGCCACAGTTTGTACGAATTATCAGGTGTCGAAATTTGATGGTGAGCCCCAAAAACAAACCCGTAATTTGCCTTGTTGCCACGGCAACACTGTTTGACCTTTTAAAAAGCTTTTAACAACTTTTAATGTCCCATTCGTCTAGATGATACAGAATGATTCTGGTGAGTCTGGGTCAAATGCCCAAGGACGAGTTCGTTCAAATACGAGGACAGGAAATTGCGTCATCGGCGCTGAGTCTCGCAATCAGTCCAATATGGCGGGCTTCCTGTTGGTTGCCTAGCAACCACGTAATATACTTTTTTGTTCCTATTCCCATGATGCATCTGTGTACCAAATTTGGTTTGGCTATGCAAAACTTTTTATTGGGCTGTCCTATTGGCGAGGTCAGATGTTTGGCCTGTTGCCATGGCAACACGATAAAAAAACAGTGTGGGGGTATCTTTGACTTTTTTGATCGAGACCATGTCACAAATGTATGTACCAAATTTTATCAATCAAAGTAAAATTTTGCTGTTCAATGCAATTTCCCTAGGGGGCGCTATTGTGTCCACTTGAGATTTTCCTTTATAATTCTGTTCAGGGTCGGGGTGTCCACCAACGATTAAAGTTTGAGTGAAATTGGCCAAAGTTTGTGCGAATTATCACTCGTCGAAATTTGGTGGCGAGCTGCAAAAAAGAACGCGAAATTTGCACCGTTGCCACGGCAACACTGTTTAACCTTTAAAAAAGCTTTTAACAACTTTTAATGTCCCACTTGTCTAGATGATACAGAATGATTCTGGTGAGTCTGGGTCAAATGCCCTAGGACGAGTTCGTTCAAATGCGAGGACAGGAAATTGCGGCTTTGGCGCCGACTCGCTTGATCGGTCCAATATGGCCGACTTCTTGTTGGTTGCCTAGCAACCGCGTAATATATTTTTTTGTTTGGAACGACCAGACCTATCCACCACCCGAATTTCGTTTGTCTACGACAAAGTTGACAAGTAGCGAGTAGGCCCCCCTACCCCCTACCGCGGGCTGCACTGACAGATGAAGCTGCAGATTCACAACAACAGATTATTAACGCAGCTTACATCCCAAAACTCAATTTTTGATGCAGTTTACATCCCAAAACTCTATTTCCAGCAGCTGTGAATCAATGAGTCTAAGTGGATCTGTTAATACGAGTACACGTGCACATACGGTGTTTTTTTCGTTCAACCGCTATTTATCGAATACTCAATGCGGCCCAGCCTCACTCAGACTTTATCTAATGTGGCCCCCAGGTAATTTGAGTTTGAGACCCCTGGTGTAGAGAGACATTCAGCCTTCCACCATGTTCTAATTGTGTTTGTACATTCAGTTAATCTCATTTTGACCTGTAAAATTAGATAATTCTAATTTAGGAGAATTTAAAGTCATAGTATGCATCTTTTCACTCTCTATAGTCTGGTTCAAGTCCCTTATGTTTGAAGCAGAACGTAGAAGGAACTGGCTGATCAGAGTATGGAATAAAACATATCTATCTCCATGGAGAATGTTCCCAAGTATTGTTTTAACCTGGTTTTATTTTTAACTTGCCAGCAGAGGGCATCAAAATCCAAACATTCAAATAGAAAGTAAACTGCACAACACCGTGTTAGAATATACAGCATTTATTGTTATAAAATCTGACATACAAATACAGGCACAGGTATCCAAACATATAAAAAAATACCCTATTGAACTTTAGTATACGTATGTACTTCATGTAATTATAAATAGCGCTGAAGGATTAGTAAAACGCAGACAAAAAGTCAAATATTGCGATGATATACACTGCAGTCATGCTGTGCTGATCCACATGGTCAAACAGCACAAGACTTTCCCATAAGCGTGGCGGCTCATGTGTCAATCTGGGCCATTATCTTAAGGAGCTTTGAGGTTCTTAAACATTGTGTTGACAGTGCAGAGTGAGGAGCACACACCTCCTCAGCACTGAGCAGCTTACCCACCCAAGAGCACGTGTGGAACCAGCCTGCAGGTCAGAAGGTCAGACATGGACCACCCAAATCTTCACAAAGATTATTTTAAAAAGATATATAATATACAAAGTTAAAGGCCCTACTCTGATTTTTCCATGTATCTGAGCAAAATGTGTCTTGCTCCAGTACAGATTTATTGTATAAGCAGCTCCTGAGGTCAAAATGTTGTATGAATCTTGTTATAAAGAGTTTTATTATACACTAGTCATGAAGTGTACATTAGCTTTACCATTATGGCAAAACTCCGCATTGGCCTCTCAGAGTTGTGAAAAGCATTTATCAGGTCATGCTGGTGAATAATTAGGAGGTTCAGAATGCCAAACCTCCTTGCCAGATCTCAGAAGCTAAATGCTTATTGGTGGTGAAATTAATTTTGCACGGAATTGTAAAGCGACTTTGAGAGAGAGAGGTGTATAACGCCACTGCATTTTTATTATGCACTGGTTAAGTGAGGAATAACCACTGCAACATGTTTAAAATTAAATAGTTTTGTTTTTCACCTTTTTAAGACAGTTGAATCAGGTACAGCTCTTTTAACAGTGATAGTAGTTTCCAGTAAGCGATTAGTATTTGACCATATACAATAATATCTTTGTACATTCAAAAGTGAAGTCTATGCTTTAGGGATGTAACAATAACCAAAATATCGTGATATCATATCGTCAAAGTTCTGGCAATAATATCGTGGACCATCACAGTATTTCAAATGACAAGTCTCTTTGCTTAAATTAAGAGTTATGGTGCAGCAGTAGCTAAAAAAAAGAGGGAACTGCATAGACTGTGATCCTTTGCTCCATTTCAGTGTAAACTACATGAAGAAATAACAGTTTTAAGCACTTTTAAGTCTTAGTTCTTTGGATGAAGTCTTGTAAAGGCATTTTAAGAGGAAAAAGTAGCATCTTCAATTTTGTTAACCTCCAAAAAATATTGCAATAAATACTGTACGATGAGAAGTATGTCATGAAAATATCGTACCAAAAGATTTGGATATCGCTACATCCCTAATCATGAGCCTCCCCACCATATCTTGAGCTTTCCAAGGATAGCTCAATAAATATTGTACCATGAGGTTTGTACAGTGACGGTATCGTATCGTGAGACTTGGATATGGTTACACCCCTACTGTCCATACATTTCTAAACTATAACTTAAAACGACAAGAGTTTAGCAGTATGAACACATACTTGATTATTTTAAATAAATAGAACAAAACAAACATAAAGAGTGAGTGTTTTCATTTCCAGCGGTTGATCCGTAGCAGTTGGATGTAGGCGAAGAACATGCAGACCAGAATCATCCCCATCAGAGCCACCTCGTTCTGCCAGTAGCCCCACGCTGAGTAGTCCAGGCCTTGCATATCGAGGAGCACCTCTCCTCTGATCCTGTGATTCAGATTTGATAAAAGATTCATTTCTCATAGTCCATATTGTACTGGTGTGTTTTTTTCCATAAATAAACTTTATATGTTTAGGATTGTACTGTGTATCATAAGAAACTGTAGTATTTAAGTAGATCATATGTTACCACAAATTTGGGGGCCCCCTTACACATGGGCCCCAGACCTCACTTTGAGAACCACTGCACTGTAGAGAACACTAGGGTATAGCAGCAGAGAACACTAGAGTATAGCAGCAGAAAACACTAGGGTATAGCAGCAGAAAACACTAGGGTATAACAGCAGAGAACACTAGGGTATAGCAGCAGAGAACACTAGAGTATAGCAGCAGAAAACACTAGGGTATAACAGCAGAGAACACTAGGGTATAGCAGCAGAGAAAACTAGGGTATAGCGGCAGAAAACCCTAGGGTATAACAGCAGAGAACACTAGGGTATAGCAGCAGAGAACACTAGGGTATAGCAGCAGAAAACACTAGGGTATAACAGCAGAGAACACTAGGGTATAGCAGCAGAGAACACTAGAGTATAGCGGCAGAAAACACTAGGGTATAACAGCAGAGAACCCTAGGGTATAGCAGCAGAAACCACTAGGGTATAGCAGCAGAAAACACTAGGGTATAGCAGCAGAGAACACTAGGGTATAGCAACAGAAAACACTAGGGTAGAACAGCAGAGAACACTAGAGTATAGCGGCAGAAAACACTAGGGTATAACAGCAGAGAACACTAGGGTATAACAGCAGAGAACCCTAGGGTATAGCAGCAGAAACCACTAGGGTATAGCAGCAGAAAACACTAGGGTATAGCAGCAGAGAACCCTAGGGTATAGCAACAGAAAACACTAGGGTAGAACAGCAGAGAACACTAGGGTATAGCAGAAGAGAAAACTAGGGTATAGCGGAAGAGAACACTAGTGTACAGCAGCAGAGAACCTTTGGATATACCAGCAGAGAACACTACGGTATAGCAGAAGATAACACTAGGGTATGGGGGTAGAGAACACTAGGGTGTGGGAGTGGAGAACCCTATAATATAGCAGCAGAGAACACTAGGGTATACCAGCAGAGAACACTAAGGTATAGCAGCAGAGAACACTTGGCTACAGCAGCAGAAAACTCTAGTGTATAGCAGCAGAGAACACTAGGGTATAACAGCAAAGAACTCTAGGGTGTAGCAGCAGAGAACTCTAGGGTATAGCAGCAGAGAACACTAGGGTATAACAGCAAAGAACTCTAGGGTGTAGCAGCAGAGAACTCGAGGGTATAGCAGCAGAGAACACTAGGGTATAACATCAAAGAACACTAGGGTATAGCAGCAGAGACCACTAGAGTATAGCAGCAGAGAACACTAGGGTGTAACAGGTGAGAACACTTTGGCATAGTAGCAGAGAACACTTGCGTGTAACAGCAAAGAACACTAGGGTATAGCAGCAGAGACCACTAGAGTATAGCAGCAGAAAACACCAGGGTATAAAATGTGCTACTTACTCAGTCGTGTTGTCCAAGAAGATCTGTCCTTTGTACTCAATAATGTAGGCAGCCTTAAAGGGACAAAATAGTCAGTGTGTACAACATGTTTTGAATAGTCACATTTATTTGTTATTTTGATTTATTTTCTTTTTAAAGCAGACTCAAAATGTACTTTTCAGAACTTTGCCCACGTTAAAGTTGTCTCCACTCAACATTTACGCACTTGAGGATGTATTTGGAGTGATTTGTGCATTTGTATTTGAGCAATCTTTAATCGCTTATTTTCAAGACGCCATATTGCTGATCACCCCCACCATGTCTAAATCATAACATAATGATCCACAGATGTCAATTTTTTTTCTTCTGAAGCACAGATATTGCTGACAATTCAATCAAAAGGAAGTGCTACATTTTTGTGAGTTGTCATTGTTGACAACCTCAGTTGAGGCCACTATGACTGTAAATAAATGTATAGATTTTTTTTCTTATTACAGGGGGCCTGCAACATTCTGTCCTCAGTACCTGCTTAACTCCCAAGAGAACACTGTGGTTTCAATATAAATACTACATATAGTCTCGAGATTATGTTTTACAGTACATAAAATGTAAAACAAAGATCTAAGTATGCAACTGTTATTACAAAATACCAGATAAGAAGCAAAAGAACCTTCTGTAATATGTTTAGTGTCACTTACATTGAGTCCATAACTGAAGATACTGAGCCACTTGATCCAGGAAAGCCAGCTCAGCATGGAGTTAAGATTGACCAGGAAACCGCCGAAGACCTGAGTAGAGACACAGGTGCATGAGAAGGTCCTAGGTCCACCACATATGTGAGCAGAGAGCTTCTCACCATCATAAAGACGAAGGGCAGGGCGATCAGGATGTTGGCCATGGCGAAGGTGGACACGCTGGCCGAGACAAGGAAGGCCAGACCCACTCCTGCCAGGCTGACCAGAACCATGTTCAGAGCGAAGCACACGAACGCCAGAAACTCAGGCCTCAGACCTGCACACAAGATCAAATCAAATTAATTGGACAGAAGGGGGATGACTGTTCATATTTTACTATGAAAATAAACATATTTTTTTGTTTATTTGGTTATTTATTTATATATAGACTTTAAAGGTGCTGTAACTGATTTTTACTGTCCTAAAAACGTGAAAAACAGAACTAGTTCATTTGAAACGGTATACAGTGGACCATAGTTGTTCCTCACGTTTTATAACTCAGAAACCAGGGAGGAGTTTTGCTCTGATGGTAAAGCTAACGACTTGCATGCTTCCTTATTACCAGACAATAAAATGCAAAACAGATGAAAACAACAGCTGATTTATATTGACCTCACCGAAAATGCATGGAAAAAGTAGGTACAATGAGGGGGTATTTTAACAAATTACTTTTAATTTATGTGAATTTATGTCAAAGTGTCTTTACTGACATTTAATTAACATTTAAAATGTATTTCTAGGGACTTGTGAACCAAATGTGTTGACCTTATTCATTAAAATTTGCACAACTCATAGTACTGCTAATGCTACTACAATCATATAAATCTTGCACTTATACACAGTGAAAGTGCTTGTCATACCCATCATGTAATAGGCAATGCTTGCGAACACGACGATGGGGACGACGCGGTTTGGGAGGATATCTGCAAAGATCTTGGACAGGAAGTACACAGAAGTGCGGTAGTAGCCACTGGAGTTTTCATGACTGCAATGAGAAGGGAGCAAGAACAACATATGACAACACTACAGTCTGTAATGCTGTAGTGTACTATTGGGTACTGTTTAGACCCTGATGCCATGAACATGTGAGTATGGAGGACTCACATGAAGATGACCCTCTCCTTGATAAACAGCTCCACAGCAGACAGGTTACCAAACACCATGTTGATGATGAGGAAGAAGAAGGCTCCACTTCTGAAAGGAACAGTTAGAGAATACCTTTGTTAAATGATGCGATGGATTTATACAGCAGCTTTCAAGACCACAAAAACATTTCACAGTGCGTTATTTATTCACTCCACACTTGTTGGTGATAAGATACTAAAGTAAGCACACACAACACTCACATACATGAATACTAGGCAATGGCAGGTTTTGGTCTGAGTGGGGCTCGATCCTTCCACTTTTGGGTTGGTGGACAAGTGCTCTAACCACATAGACTTTCAATTCTAAGCAACTGGGGCTAACGAACAAAAGACATGTCTGACCCTACGGCCTTTCTGACCATCTCAGTTTTGTGAACACGATAATAGAGGATATGTGGGTGACATGTCAAACATACTTCCATTAGTCATTAATTGTTAGTTAGTGATTCTACTTTGACATCTTCTGCCTATTCTGTTGTATTGTATTAACACACAGTGGCATAGTAGGTAGTGCTGGGTTTGTGACGTCTTCATCAGTCTGCCCCAGGTCCAGTGATTTCATGTTGCTGTCATAGGTCCTGCAACATACCTGTTCTGGATGGCCTCTGGCATTGTTTTGGGCATCTGGTAGTAGATGAGTCCCACCAGAATCCCGAAGAAGACGTTGAGAGCCAGCTGAGCGTACGAGGTCTGTGGGTTCCTCAGGAGGTTCAGGATGGAGCGTTTACACACCACTCGAATCTGGGTCAAACACACATACACACTACACATTACTAGGGTTCCCGGAAAATTATTTTATCATTATATGATTTTATGCACAATGTCAGAACTTTCCAGGAACCATTTCTTACTTCTTTGAACAACTTGTTTTCATTTAATATAATCCACTACCCCACTCGTAAAGTTATAGACTAGGGACATTTATATCCTAAATGACAGATCTGGCAGCTCAAGGTGGGATTCCAAGCTACTGCCCAAATATGAAGCGAATAAGCAATACTATATAACTCTCTTTGTATTATTACAAGAAAACACAAAACACATGGTTTAGCCCTATCTATGCCTGATCAAGTCTAGAGTTAGACCTGGTTGTACTGGTAGTGGTATTTGGTGTAAGAAGTTTCAGATCCATTTGTCAAAGAGCCACGTTTCTATTCAACACAGTCTCCATATTGTCTCTGATGGCTGAGTGCGTCACAGTTTATTACAGAAACCTTGGTGTAAATGAGTTCATGGAGCGGACAGCGAAGCACGTTACCATAACAGCCCGTCATTAAACAATAAAGCCCCATAAAATCTGCCATTATAAAATATGTTGTTCTTGAAAACCAAATGAAATGAAATGCTGAGTAAGATGCAATTAATTCCTGTTATAATCTCAACGAAATCGTTCACAATAGCGCAGCCTCTGTTTGAAGTGCAATAAATGTGGGGACAAGTTCAATGGACAAAACTTGCTAAACATTTTAATCCGAAGTCTGGATGTAAACTATATGCAATATTACTTAAAGGGTAAAGTCAGTTTTAATCTGGGCTGTTTAAAGGGATTCGTGAGCCAGGCAGAGTAGTTTTCAGTCACCATACTTTTACTCCTCCTTGAGTAATATTTTAATGGAAGTAACAGTACTCCTATTTAGTAATATTTTTTATTGAAGTAGTAGTACTCCTGAGTACACTTGAGTAAAGGATGTGATTCCTTTTCCTATTGTGAGTACAGGTGATAAAAGTTTGGGTAGACAACATGAAATGATATGAACATTTGTATTTCCTGCACTGCTCCTTCACATATGATTTATTTTTTCTAATTTTTGTGTTTATCCTTTGATCCAGATTTTATTTTCCATTTGTTTTCCAATTAAATTAATTTAAATGTATGTCAGTGGCAGTTACTCTAATAATTTATTTTACTTGAGTAGAAGTTTCCTAGAATACTTTTCACTCTTGCTTGAGAAATTTCTTGGACCACTAGTTCATACTATTCTCCCCAGCTCTCTGCCTGGGATCCAGAATACACACTTTGCAAAGTTGTGACTTCAGTTACCAGTGAATCTCTCTGAATTCATATAGGCGTGATTGACAGGTGGATTCGTCAATGAGGGACACACATGGCCCACCCATATCAAAGCAAACATGGCTGCTTACAAGGGAAAATATCACAGGGGACTGGGGGGAACATCACAGATTTCTGCTGAATCAAAGAGCAAAGCACTAAACTTATTGTGAGGAGAGAAACACTACCAGTCAAAAGACTGGACACTCTTTTGCACTTTTGGTTTCTCTTTATTTACATGATATTTACATTGTTGATTCTCACTGAGGGCACCAAATCTATGAGAGGACACATGTAGAATGTAGCAAAGAAAAAATAACTCAGAACAACTCAGAACTTGTTTTAGATTTTTAAAAGCAGTCTTTACCCTTTGTTTTGACCACTGCTTTGCACGTTTGGCATTTCTTGACCCTGACAAGGCACAGCTGTGAAGTGAGAACCATTTCAGGAGGCTTCATCATGAAACCCATTGAGAGAATAATAATAATAATAATAATTATATAATACTTTTCTGGACACTCAAAGACTCTTTACAGTTCATTATTCATTCACTCCACATTCAGTGGTGAAAAGATACTATTTTAGCCACAGCTGCCCTGGGGTAGACTGGCGGAAGTGAGGCTGCCAGTCTGCATCATTGGCCCCTCCGACCAACACTCATGCACACACCACTTTCATACTAGGCAATGTAGGTGAAGTGCCTTGCCCAAGGACACAACAACAATGTTTTTTTTTGCGATTGGTGCCCCACTGTGGCACCTGATTTTCCCAGTGGTCTCCCATCCAAGTACAAACCAGGCCCAGCCTTGCTCAGCTTCTGAGATCTAACGGGATCAGACTCTGATAAGCTGACCACATAAAGAAGGCCAAGGTTTGTAGCACTGCTGACAAAGCAAAGGGTGACTACTTTAAGCATTTGAATATAAAATATATATAAAAAAAAAATAAAAATGTTGAGTTATTTAATTTTTGTCTTTTCTACGTAATTCCACACATTTTGCTTCATGTCTTTGATGTCTTCTGTGTGACTGGTAGTCTATGTTAACCTGGCTCACACCAGATTGATATGTGTATCCCTCTGAATTTAGTTCTACATATTATCTGTCTGGAATGGCTCTAGCTGAAAGTGTTCAGAAAATGGAGGAACTTGCAGCAGAATGCCTCGAGATGATTGAGTGTGCCACCCCGAAGTGCCCACCCACCAAGTTCTTTTTAGCCAATCCAACATGCTCCAGGTAAAACCAAAACCAAGTGCTGGAAAGGGAAGATGTAAGATGTGCAATAAAAAATTTGTACATTAAGAGCGTTATATCCCACCATCACTGTCCACTGGCACCGCCATGTTTGTTTTGTTTCTGTATATATAATATATACACAGTCTGTGGGGTAGGTGTGGCGCTTGGGGATCTTGTCATGTTGCCTGAAACTCCTCCTCCTGTGTATAGAAGCCCTGTGGCCGACCATTGCTCAGGTCAAATTTAAAGCGTACACAAGGCTAAGCGTATGTTGGAGATTGCTCAAAAAAGATGACCTATGAGCCCATCCATTTTACATGTGTCAGCTGAAATGAAGAAATCTGATTACACAGGACTGTCTGAATCTGGCTCGAGATGCGACAGACAGTGTGTGGACCAAACTGATAGCTGATAATTGTTCTGGCCTTGACAGGTAAACCGCCCTGCTCACTGGGTGCACAAACGTGATCAGACCTGATAGAAGAAGGATGTGGCGTAGCCTACGCTCTGGTCCGAGCTCTTGCCTCCCAGAACCTCGTTCTTGTGGGCTTGCTCCAGCTCCTCCAGCACAACTCTGCCCTGCCGTGACTGACGGTACCTTTCACCCAGGAAGGTGTGGGCGTCCTCTAGGGAGCAAACAGCAAGATATATGATACAGAGGATAAATGATATAAGTTATAGTTATGTAATAAATGGAGAGCATAACTGACTGTGTTTTAGCTAACCAAATTTTCCATAAGTTGACCATCCATTTTATTTAGATACTAAGGACAGCAGCAGAAAGGAAAAGTGACACAGTTTGTTGATTTGATATTTTTTGGTATTGTAAAAAGGCAGATTAAATTCATGATTCACACGTTTAAAATGTTATGTGATATTTGCTTGAACTCCTGTGCAGGTGTTTCTTGTGAGTACAGTTTGGGTCAGATACACCCGTCAGAAATATGTAAATATGTAATATGAAATATGTGTTTTTAGAGCGTGTCACTTTCTTTTTTTTAGTTGACTAAATGATCGACAGGACATGTCTTTAGTTCACCAAGAATTTCTTTAGTGAACTACAGCCTTAGAATGAGCGCCCTGAGGACTCTAGACACTACACATTGGTGTCTGAGGAGGCTGCTGTTATTGTGTCCGTGGGCAAGACACTTAGCCTGCATCGCTCACTACCTCGTCTGTGTACACTGGTGCATGAGTGTGTGTGTGAATGGATAGTTCTTGATGTAAAGCGCTTTGAGTGTGACTGAAGTTGAGAACAAAGCATGAAAATACTTTAACACAGTGCTGCATATTTAGAGTTCTTCTCTCAGACTGTAAACACTCTGTTCCACCTTGTGATGTCATGTGCTAATACAGGAAATATTCCACTGTGTTTTGAAACTCCATACACTGTCATTAGAATCATTTGGATAATTTCATGTCTGGAATAGCTAATCTCTATTTAACAAAGGGAAAAGGTACATATTAACTTGAAAACTACCACTACGTGACATCACAAGGTGGAACAGAGCCTTTTGAGCTTAGGAGATGTAAACAGACTATATAAGGAAGTACTCAAACATGTGTGAATGAAACAACTCCAAGTATGTTTCTGATGTTGAGGTAACAATGTTCTAATGTGGCTTTAAAGTCACGAGAATCAACATTGCTGCTGTTCTTGAACTTGCAACACCATAGTATCCCCAAATAAAGGTTTATCTTATCTTATCTTATCTAAGCTTAAAACTATTGCTCAGTGCTGGAATTACCTGAGTCAAAAGGTGGCATTGTCGATTTGGTCTCTCCGTTCGTGATGTCCATGAAGAAATCGGCCGGGTTGTTGAAGGTGTCAATCTGGTATCCTATCAGGCAACACAAGAATCCTCCATGGGTAAAATGTATCCCAAAAGCTTATGTATTGATACTTTGAAGTAACATCATGCTGGGGGGGGGTCAACATGTATGTGTATGGTTGAATGTTCATCAGTTACAATGGTGACACAATGAACCCATTAAACACTGCCAAGACTGACTGAAACTCAAGAAAAAATGTTATTTGAGAGGGACTTGTTTAACAGTAAAAATCATCTCATCTGTTGAAGTTTCAGCTACGTCAGTTCTTTATGGTCAGATTGTATAAAATGTTTTAGCTTATTTTTCCTAAAATGCCAGACTAAAATGACTCTTAATTCAAACTGAATCTGTTTCTGACTGAAATCTTGCACAGAGGAATCGCTGGAGTCTTTGTGAAACCAATCCTCTGTCTCTGTCTCTACACAAAGGAAAGTCAGATTTCAAATTCGACCTAAATTTTTGAGGGTAAATATAAGAACAGGTATAGTAAGTGTCCTTGGAGATGGTCCGAAAGAAAGTAGAGTGAGCTTTTGTTTGGTCTGAACAATTCCCATGTCAAAGCTGAAGCAGATCACATTAAACACGAGCTTTAAGAAACTTGTAATTAGGCAAAAAAATACTATTCAATATTTTAGAATTTTTGGGTTATTTTTTTATTTGTGGGTTTGGATTGCAAACTGGTCCTTTCTTCTCAAAATGGTTGATTTGACTGAAAATAAGTCGGTTGCAGATTTTCATTAATGCTTTACATGTCCGTTAGACTGATAGTTCCCTTTCATCAGAAGCTAAACAAACAGAAATTAATTACGAAAAGTAAAAGGTATCACAGTATCAGCACTCTTGTTAAAACAAATCTCAAATTAAAGTCCAACAAAGCCTCAGACAGAGCAGTGCCAACAATTAGCATCATACTCCCACAGAATATTGATGACATCAACTGCAAAGAATCAATAGAGGTAAGAGAGAACTTATTCTCCAGGACTACATACAGGACTACAGGACTACATTCATACTATAATACTCCCTACAACTGTACAGCAACTCACCTTAATGTAAAAGATAATACTCCCTACATCTGTACAACAACTCACCTTTATGTAACAGATAATACTCCCTACAACTATACAACAACTCACTCTTATGTAACAGATAATACTCCCTACAACTGAACAGCTCACCTTTATGTAACAGATAATACTCCCTACAACTGTACAACAACTCAGCCTTATGTAACAGACAATACTCCCTACAACTGTACAACAACTCACCCTTATGTAACAGATAATACTCCCTATAACTGTACAACAACTCACCCTTATGTAACAAATAATACTCCCTACAACTGCACAACAACTCACCCTTATGGAAAAGATAACTCTATGGCCTGTCATTCATGATATCATTGTTCCGTTGTGGATCAGTAAAGTTTGTCTAAGTATAAGTCTCTAAGTCCATACCGAGGTTTGTGAAGTAGTCCAGGGCTTGGACGGCTGCTCCGGCGTACACCATCTCCCCCTTGTGCATGAGGGTCAGGTGGTCAAACTGCCTGAAGATGGAGTAGCGAGGCTGGTGGATGGAGAAGATCACTGTTTTACCTCTGCGGGACAGTCTGCACATAGAGATACAAGCTTTATATTACAGTACGATACAGTGGGACAACAGAATGATGACAAGGTCTTTTCTTGAGCTAAATTAGCTTTCTATAGTTTATTTTACCATGCTATAAAGTTGTTTCTTCATGGAAAACATACTGTACGTAGACTTCTTTTATTTGTTTTATTTGTGCTTGCTTGAGTATAGTCCATGTTAAATGTAATAAATGTTAAATGATAATGCGTTTAGTGCCATTCTTAACACTGGGTCAAAATTAAACTGTAACTACCTACTGATAAAAAAATAAAATAGGGTCACTTTAAAACAAACCACATAAAAAAAACTGATAAGTAGGTTCCTGCCTCTTCTTATGAAATAAATATTGCAGTAACATCTATTTTGTAGTCCTCCTGAGGGTATAGTACATGTAAAGTGTGTTTAGTAGTTCAGTGCATATATTACGTGCTTTACAAGTATTGTATTTTTCGGACTAGTCGCACTTTTTTCATGGTTTGGGTGTTTCCTGCGACTTATACCCCGGTGTGACTTATATATATACATTTTTTCAGACTGACAGCCTTGAGAGTGCGCTCTAGGCTTGTCAGTTTACTGCACATGTCTCCTGCAGAAAAAGCTGCTGCCTGCTGCAGGTAGTGAAATATGCAGCAGAAAACGGTAATCGAGCAGCAGAAAGAAAGTATGGAGTGAGTGAGGGACTGGCAGAAAGTGGGAGTGGAGAACTCAGCGTCACGGCAACCGGGAGGGTGCACCATGCCTGGACTTCAGTGACAACCGAAGTTACGCGGAGTTGCTCGGAAGTGACACCGAAGATGAAGAATTCAATGGATTCAATGGATTTAGTGATTTGGAGTGAGATGGAGAGTTTGGTAAACTTATGTTCTGTTGTTTTACTATAATTATCTGAATATGTTACATTCACATACCAGACGCCTATTCAGACTGTTGTTCTTTATTCTATTGTTATTACTATAACTTGCTTTTCATGATGAAATGTTGGTTCCTGGTCTCTGATTTTATAAAATAAATTTCCCCCAAAAAGTGCGACTTATAGTCTGGTGCGACTTATATATGTTTTTTACTCTTGAAGTATGAATAGTACTTGTAAAGTGTGTACAGTACTTGTGCAGCAGGCCGATGATGGAGTTGGCCGTGTTGGAGTCCAGTCCGGTGGTGGGCTCGTCCAGGAAGAGCAGGGAGGGAGAGGTGATGAGCTCCATGCCGATACTACAGCGCTTCCTCTCGCCTCCGGACACGCCACGCAAGAACTCTGTACCAATCTGTGAAAGATACATGCCACAGGCTACATCAACATCTGGTAGGAATAGGGCACTTAGCAACGTTGTCAATCAAACCTGTTACTAATGCTAGTGGGAGCGACCTTGGCGAAAGAGGGCAGCTCAGTGGCCTGTTTAATATCGTACCATGGAACATTCTCAGGAATGTGGTAACATCTCCATGAAGTCAATCTGTATAGTCAAAGTGCAGCTTTAAAGGGTCTATCTATGCATTTATGTTATCATGTTGTTTCCTCACCAAAAACACACCTGGAGTTGAGTTTTGTTTCATTCACACGTTTAACACAGTTCTTTTCACCAACAGAAAACACTTTGTTCCACCTTGTGTTGTCATATAGTAATAAACGAAGAACTACGCTGTGTTTTAAACTCCTTACATCTTTGCGAGAATCATTTGTATAATTTGAGCCAATCTAAACTACTACTAAAGGTAAAAGGTAAGTGTTAACTACCACTACATGACATCACAAGGTGGAACAGAGCATTTTGAGCTTTGGGGATGAAGACAGACTAATTGGTCAGTCCGTATGAAATCACCCGCTTTCAAGGAATCTCCCCTATGAGCCATCTCAGTTTGGCTGAAAAAATTTCCAAAAATTTATAAAATGACCAAATGAAAGAATCTAAAACTTTAGCTCAATCCCTTCAGTCGTTCCTGAGTTACGGCCGTTGAAATTTTTTCGGAAACCTTAATTAATAAGCATGTTTGAGAGACCATAAGTTCATAAATATAGAACTAGGAAGCTGCAAATTTGTATTATTGTAGATTTTTGGTCATAGATTCTGAAATTTAATCTTTCTAGCTGGTGGAAAAGTATCTAAGCTCCACCAAAAATGACCCATGAGAGCTCATTTTCAAAAATTCCGTTTGAAATTGAGAAGTTAATAATAGATGTTTTTATTACTTTAAACTAATCAGAATATGCCAGAGTTTCTCTGGTAAAAATTTTATCAACATCTAACTGTTCCCACATAGGGAACCAAGGGTCCAAAGAAGGGGCCAGAAAGGTCACATTTGGTCTGTGACTATATTTGGGGCTCTGCACCATCCACATGAAAGCTCAGAAAGGTGTGAGATTTGTGTCAAAATGGTCATTCTCTCAAATATTCAGGTTCAACAGTTAGTTTATAAATATCTGCTTGGTGTAAATAGATCTTGGACCTCAAAATTTTTAAAAAAAATTGAGCGGCAACCAAATGTGAGATTTTGGGGGCCCACAGCACCCCCCTTAATGAAGATGCCCAATATTTGACAACAGATTCAGAATCTATGACAAAGAATATACAATAATACAAATGTTCAGCTTCCTAGCTCTGTTTTTTATGAAGTTATGGTCTCTCAAACATGCTTATAAATTAAGGCTTCCAAAAAAGTGAGCATGGCCCCAAAATTTCAACGGGCCAAAACTTGAGATTCTTTCATTTGGTCACTTTAGAAATTTCTTGAATTTTTTTCAGTCAAATCTGAGATGGCTCACAGGGGAGGGCAGCTGATTTCATATGGACTGACCCTAATAATAAAGGATTACTCAAACGTGTGAATTAAACAAAACACAACTCAGAGTATGTTCTGATGACATTATATCTTAACATAACTTAAAGCTCACAAGAGTCGATTTTGCATAATAGAAGAACTTTAAATTTGCGGTAACCTCAGCATGTAATATTACTAGCGGTGTAACAGTAACCAAAATATCGTGATATTGTATCATCAAAAGTCTCACAATAACACCGTGGGCCATCACAATATATCAAATCACAAGTTCCTTTGCTTAAATGCATTTTTATAGTAGCACTAGCTAATAAATATTGGGAACTACATATCCCATAATTCATTTCAGCGCAGACAACATGAAGTTATATGCTTTTACTTGAATTCTTGAGATTAAGACAGTAATAATTCACACCAAAATTTTGTCAAGGTATTTTAAAAGCAAAAAAGTGTCCTATCTATAATTATATCAGCCTCCCCAGAATATTGCAATAAATATCATACCGTGAACAGCATATCATGATAATATCATACCGAGAGATTTGAATATTGTTACATCCCCATAGTCAGGTGAAACCATTTAAATCAGGCCAAAAACAGTAGCTTCGTTTAGCATAAATGTTTGCTCTTTCCTAACCAAAATGTGATACACAAAATGGCATTAAATGAATTGTTCTCTTTGCGTACCTTGGTGTTTGCACAGTCGGTGAGGCCCAGGTCTTGGATGATGGCGTCCACTCGGCTCTTCTTTTCTTTGGTGGAATGCTGTGAGGGGTCCAGACGCAGGTTAGCGCTGAAGAGGAGGTTTTCTTTCACACTCAGGGTCCCCATCACGATGTCGTCCTGTCATCCAACATCCAACACAACAGCACAAAGCATTAAGAAAGCAAAGAATACATGTCTTTAGAATGTTGTTACCTCCTCAGAAAAACACAGAGTTGTGTTTTGTTTCTTTCACACTTGTTTCAGTAGTTATTTATTATTAGTCTGTCTACATCTCCAAAGCTCAAAATGCTCTGTTCCACCTTGTGATGTCATGAAGCTTCTTTAAGTGTCCAAAAAAGTGCTATATAAGTCAGATGTATCGTATTTTCCGCACTATAGGGCGCTCTGGATTATAACGCGCACTGTCATTAAATGGTCTATTTTCATACTTTTTTCACAAATAAAGTGCACTGGACTTTAAAAGAAACACAACAGTTGGATGGCTCAGTGGGACTTTGTTTGTCGCGTTCACGGTGACTCTGGGCTTTGTTCAGTTTTGTCATGTAGGGAGGGTGCTGTCTGGGACCGCTGGATTGTTGGCGTGTTCGCAGTGACTCTTCAGTTGTGGCTAGAAGTGGCACATTGCACTTGCTTTTTCGTTTCGTTCCTCTGTTCCGTTCCTCCGTTCTGTTCCTCGTCGGTGTGGAGTGATGAGTGTGTCTGTGGGTGTTTTTCGCTGTGCGGTCGCTGTCTGCTCCATGCGTGTTTGCGTGTGCTGCGGGTGGTGCGGCTTTATAGTTTACTGAAGTCGTGCTGAGACACCTGAGTGGATTCGTGTATAGGGCGCTCTGGATTGTGGGGCGCACAGTCGTTTTTTGATGGGGTTGGAGGCTTAAGAACACGCTGTATGTTGCGGAAAATACAGCATTTTTATGACATGCTCGTTTTCAAGTTAACTGTTACCTCTGATTTTCTGTTCAGCTGTTCAAAGCTGAAATGATCCAAATGATTCTAAAGAAGGTGCATGGAGTTTAAAAACAGAGTGGAGCACTTCCTGTATTACCACATGACATATCAAAATGGAAGAATGTTTGCAGAGAGAAGAACTGGGATTTGTGCATTAAATGTAAAGTTTGTGTGTTAAACAAAACACAACTCCAGGTCTGTTTTTGATGAGGAAACAACTTTATAACAGATCAGAAAATAGTGTATGGTCCCTTTAAAGGTGCACTATGTAACTTGTTTGATGACCACCACTTGTTTGTCTCTATGTCATTGTCCAGAGTATGTTCCAACAAAAAATACAGCATGAAACTTATCTATCTCTATGGAGATAAACCCAAATTACAGGTCAGTTCTGTGAAAAGTTGACCCCACCCACAGTAAGAATAGCCTATGGTAAAGCATTAACATCTCCATGGAAACAAGCAGGTGGCAGATTTTTAATAATCCTTTGGTAAATATTAATGGTTAAAGTTTTACCCATGTACTTCAGCGAAATGTATCCTTGTACTTTTCCGAGTACAAATATATTATATAAGCATCTCTTGAGGTCAAAGTATGGCTATCTGTATCTAATAATAAAGAGTTTTATTATTTAATAACCTGGAAGTTGTTATTAGCTTTGCGTCCCTGCAAATGTCAGCTCTGGTCTCTAAGAGTTGTAAGAGAGGTGCTTACAAATTCATCACTGTAAATAATTACGATACTTGGAAAGCATAAGGTAAGCGAGGAATAATGTTGGACCACTGCAGACTGGTTAAAATTAAGTAGTTCTGTTTGTTTAAACGACACATTTGACATTTTCTGATCGTTTTTTCATCACAAAAATAATATCTGGAGTTGTATTTTGTTTCAGTCACACATGTTTAAGACACAAACTCTGCAGATTTAGGCTGAGTTCTTCTTTCAAACAAAAAACACTAATCATTTGGAAGCTTTCAGACCTGGAATTACTCATCTCTACTAAACAAAAGGTAGAAAGTAGCTGTTAAATAAGCTGTTAAAGCTTAAATACTGCCACTTAATGACATCACAAGGCAGAACAGAGCATTTTGAGCTTTGGAGATGTAGAGAGACTAATAATAAATTATTATTCAAATGTATCACTCCCGCTATGTTTTTGATGAGATAACAACATTCTAACATGGCTTAAAGCTCACAATATAGGACCTTTAAGACAGCAAATCGTATAGTGCTATAGTGCCTTTAAAAAGAACAGTTGAATGTGAATGACCCAATCCCCCAACCTTGCATCGCATGAATTGTCGCATGTTGAGGGACTATTTTCTCATATATCAGTCCGCTGCTGCCAAGCTTTTTATCAGGAAGTAAAACTCACTGCTGCTGCTCAGACGTAAATCCTTCAAATACAAGGTTGGTTTTACTTCTAAAAATATTCTATTGACTTACAACATTTACACTAGCCAACATGTCTGTCTCCACACGACTCTGCTCACTAGGAAATCCTATGTCCGGACTGTCCCTTTAATGTCTCTAAATCAGTATGGTGTACTTTTTATCATTCTTTTATCGAGAGCCTTTTTCATGGAGAAAAATCCGGCACAGTGTCTTACTTGCAAATTGTGAGATTTATTAGGACAACCCATGCAACGTTTTGGCACTAGGCCTTCGTCAGGCAAACAGAATGAGAGCTCATGTGGCCATCTTAAATAGGGTGTGGCCAGCACCCAAGGGTGAGACAATCAACATACAGTGTAATAATAATAATGAATAATGAAATATTAGTAGATAGAAGAGAAATCATTGAATAATAATAGAAACATAAGATTGTCTTTGTTTTTTGAATTACTGTGTTTTGGGTACACTGTTTGTTTATGACCTGTCACCCTTGGGTGCTTGCCACACCCTATTTAAGATGGCCACCTGAGCTCTCATTCTGTTTGCCTGATGAAGGCCTAGTGCCAAAACATTGCATGGTTTGTCCTAATAAATCTCACAATTTGCAAGTAAGACAGTGTGCGGGATTTTTCTCCATGTTCTTGGGCTGCTCCCTCTCCTCCAATGCACCCATCTCAAGTAATTGATGTGCGAAGTTCTCATTCTTTTATATTGAGAGCCTTTTTACCTTTTTACCTGACCTGTGTGAAATGCTGTATGTGAGTGAGTTTTTATGCTGTAGTTAGTGGCCTTTAGTTTTCTTAATTAAACTAAACTATCCATCATGCTCCATAATAACATTTGTATTCACTTTTTTGCCCCAGAGATGCCATAATTACAAGATGGACCAGAAAAACCCTCAAAAACCTCATACCTGGACCACATAGGCGGAGCTAAGTCTAAGTTCAGAGGTCACAGGACGCCCATCCACCCGCACCTCGCCCTCCTTCAGTCCCCGGGGGTCTTTCCTGCCTGCGATCACGTCTAGCAGCCTGATAAAACACACACACAGTGGTTATCTCAACGAGGGTCAAAGTTCAACGCACGTGACAGATACTGCAAGTTGTAATTTGAATAGTCTTACGAGGTTTTGCCGCTGCCCGTTGCGCCCATGATCGCGTTCAAACCCGGTCTCATGATGCCGCTGGAAAAGATGACAGAAACAGTGTGCAACTGTTACAAAATGACAAATAAATACAGATACATAGAACAAAACTACTCAAGTATAGAGTTTTTGAGTGGAAAATTACTTGACATTCCAAATTCTACATAATAAATATCTAAGACAGCCTTAAAAATAATTAGGAATGGGCAGTGTATTGGTTCTAATATCAGTACTAGGGATATCACAGGCTTTTTCTAGACTGTGGTAGTCTGATATTTGGCACCTTTATATATTCTTGTAAATAGCTCCAGTCTCCGTGTGCTCGTGTGTCATGTGTTTGTCTTCAGTTCATCAGATTTCAAATATGGCTGTATGTTTACACAGTCGTATATCCCATTTCAGTACATTTTGTTATTGTTATTTAAAAAGTTTAAAGTTTATCTGGGAAATCACATGTGTGGGTGTTTTTATGGATTGGTTTATCTGTTGATATTGTAATAATAGTAATTGGCGAGTAGAAGAAAAAGACTTTTGAAAATAATGAAAATAATAACTTTATATATTTATTGACTTTTATTGACCTCTGCTTGATTGTTCCATTGTGCTTTATGAGTGATCAGAACTTCAATATCATCTTAAAACTCGATATCTCATGGAATCTTCCGATCGCGATTTCTCAAATACATGATTTGCATCCTTAATAGGGCTGCAGGATACTGAAAATAATGTGGTCTGCGATGTGGCTGTTAAGTTCTGCAATATAAATATTACTAAAATATCTTCATATACTTTTAAACTTGAACATTTCAGTTATAATAAAACAAAAACAACACATTACTGGTGTCAAAATAAACATAGATATAGGCTGTCTCCACTGATATTTGCACTATTCAACGTCTCAACTATTGGGCTTAAATGTCCAGCAGACATTTATTTAGGTCAACCAGTGCCTAAAGCATACACATAAAACTTTCTTTTAACACTTGGAACACAAATAGGTGTGGTGAGTTTGTTCTTTGGAAATAATAATATAAGTCAAAATCAGCCCTACATATATCCCAGAGTATCAGCAAAACTTATAGGTTATAGATTTTCCTAGGTTATAAAAAATTTCCACCGGCCATGAAACAAAACAAAAAACAAAAAAAACAAATCAGGTGATCATTTAAGTAAAAGCTTAACACAGAAAAAACAAGGCTCACTCTGATATATTTTGTTGTGATATAGATTATTGTTTCATCCAACACTGAAATATCGATACTTTTGCTGAATACTGAGCATCCTTAACCCTAACCAGTTGTGGCGTCAGTGGTTTTATAACTTCTCCCAAACTTATCACGTACATCAGACATTTTTATACCCCATGACAACACCCTATAGTGAACAGTATCTTAACTTCCTTACAATACATGTTTGGAACAGCGATCTTCTTACCTGACATCTTTGAGGATGAGCTTCTCCGGGCCGTTCTTTCGACAGAACCTAGTTTCCTGGACGCTGTAATGCAGCCGGTAGAATGTGACAATGGGCCCCGAATCCATTGAAGGGTGATCCTCCATCTCATACACCGCATCTTTAGACATTCTCCAAAACAATATTACTACTACTACTACTTCTACTACAACTCCAAGTACTGCTGCTTGGCATATGTAGCCAGCCCCAAGAGCCGTCAGGTAGTATATGTAATATAGTTAAAGTTATAAAATCCACTGAGCTTTGGACCCTCCCACACCTGTAAAAAAAAAAAAAATGATATGGCCACGGGAAGGTTTGATGACCTGCCTATAATAAAATGATACTTAATGATACCAGTGATACTGAATCACTACGTGGCAACATGGGCCAAAGGGAATTAAAATACACATTTAAAAATAACAATATATAAATATGGAGCACTATATTACAACACAAATTTCCTATTTTAACAATATTCGCTTTAGCTGCCTCTGTGTGTATTCAAACATATTGGCCTATAGAATGTGGCATGTCCCCTGAAACCATTATCACTTCAATTTATTTTAACTCCACTTCAGTTACCACAGAAGAAGAAGCTGAATACAAATAGACCATTAAAGGCATTATGTGACTTGTCTAGTGGAGGTCCACCACCTGCTTGTCTCCACTGAGATCTGGAATGCCATTATAGCATTAAACTGTTGTATCAGGTAACAGAGCAGGTCAGTTTTGTGGAGAGGTGAGCCCACTCACTTTAGGAATGCATAAGATCAATTTTTTAACTAGTAACTAGTAACACCTGTAATCGAATAGATGCAAGATAGGTTGATGATTAATCCTATCTTGTGAAACATTCCAAGTATTGCAATAACTAATTTTATTGGAGATAAGACAAGATTTCAAGAGATATTGGCATTAAACTGTGCACTTATCAAAGCCCCAATATCTTCAGCTACACAAAATTATTTACGCTTTTAAATTTGCCTGGAATCCAAAATACACACTTCTTCAGTACTTTGTGAATACTTCGTGAGTATGATGTGAGTCTGACAGCTGTGAGTCTAAGCCAAACTGAGTGAGAGTGTATTTGAGATTCAAAAAGGCTCAAAGTCCATACTGTTTATGAGAGTCATTATTTATCAAGCCTCAATGAGGGTGCACACCTTTATAAATTGGGTTGCAATGCACCCCTGCAGACCCGGGCCTGAAATGTGGTCACCGGTGAATATCCCCAAGTTCAGATGGGCGTGATTGACCGGTGGATCAGCCAATGAGAACGTGCATAAATACAAGGAAAAAAGAAAGGGGAAAAAAGGCCTTTCACAGCATACTAAAAACCATCGCAGATATCTGCAGAATCACTAAGCGAAACACTAAAATGAGGTGATAGAAATGTAATTTTGTTTGTAGACATGTGACCAATGAATTCCTTCGTTTCACATGTGTCACTGAAATAAACTAAGAGCACAGTCATGTTTGATTCTGGCAAGAGATGTGTCAGAGGGAGTGGTGACCGGACTGATATGCCTCTGTATAAAATTCTTTCTGGACTGTAAATGGGCAGGCATATCTAACCTGCGAACCATTGCATTCCATATTAGAAGTGTTCATGGGTCTCTTCTGGCCCCATTTTGTTCTTAAAATGTTAAGTTTTTTTAACCGCTGTACATGATCCTGGTGTTTTCATTTTGTCATTTTGTCCGTAAATACATTCTTATTCCTGTGGCTGAGGTCACACTTTCTTTATACAGTTTATACATATCATTTTTAGAAATAAAGAAATCTGTAAAACAAAGACATTGGTTTGCATTTCTTTAGGCTGGTAATCCTTTTCTTCAGACCTGTTTTATAGTGGTGGGCCACAGAAGGATTTATAAGTATTAAGTTCAAACCGATTTAACAGCTTAATGACAGAAAGGGAGCTCAGTTGTAAATATGCGTCTCGAAAACATCATAGACGACAAACAACCTTATAATACAGTGAACAGTCTTATTGGACAGCGCGCCCTCTACCGAACAGAATGCGGACATCTCAGGGTGGGATCAGAACCGGGCGCGCTCCATCTCTAATCACTTGTCTCCTCAAAGTCTCGTGTCGTCGGTTCCTTAGCTATGAATCCCGCCCACGAGGTAAAATCACCCATTTAAAGTCGTTTCCTATTGGTTTATTTCTGTGTATGGGCGGGTTTAGCGTTTAGGAATCGAGTAGGAAGCTTCAAGGAACCAAGTCTTCAGAATTAGGACGCAGCCACAGTGTTGTTTTTCTCTGACCTTTTCTTTTTTTCTCACCAGCCAATCAGAGTCGGCGTTTTTCACAGAGTCCCGCCTTAAAAACTTCGTTCAGCCAATCGCCTCGCTAGAAAGTGGGAATTTGGGCGGGGCTTCGTGCGGGTGCCAGCTCCAGAAATTCCTAGGTGTTGTCATCGTCGCGTTCTTTAGTTTCAGACTGAGCAGGCGGATTTTAACAGTACATAATGAGGCTCTAACCGCAGATCCGTCGTTCTTTTTCACGTAGATCGCTAGGGGAATCGTTTTTTTACACTTTTACACTGAAAGATCTTGAGACTTGTCGAACAATAAAGTCGTATCCGAACCGAAAAGCCCCGAGATCTGAGCCATGGAGGAGAGGAAGGAGGAGGGGGAAGCGCAGATCCAGGAGCACGGCCCGGAGCATTGGTTCTCTAAATGGGAACGACAATGTTTAGCCGAGGCCGATCAAGAAGAACCGAGTGAAGAGGAGACAGAGCAGTGCCCGCAGAAGCTATGGCACCTCTTCCAAAACTCCGCCACGGCCGTAGCACAACTATATAAAGGTTTGTACTAAAAATAGTTTGAGCTAAGGCTAACTAGCACGAGCTAAAGGCTAAAGGAAGCTAATCCCCCTCCTCATGCTAACCAGCTGGCTTCTGTGGGGTAATAAAAAGCATTGAAGGTGATCAGATAGTAAAAAAAGGCCTAGATTAAATGGCGTAATATTAAAAAAATCTGACTGCAGTAGGCATCAAAATATTTGTGCATTTGTTCAACATTTATACATAAGCCTCATTATTGCGTTGACATTCCATAAATACAGTGCATATTTATTTTTCAAATGTAATCATTTTCTTGATGTTTGTTAAAATTCTTTGAAAATCTGCTTCAGGAACGGGTTGCAATCAACAATAACAATCAAAGTTGCAAATTGTATCTTTTTCTTTTTCTTAAATCTAAAGCTTTTTTATTTATTATAATTCTGTCAAGATTTGCAACAATTCCACTAAAACTGAAGCATTCAAAGAGCATGTCATAGCTGCTTGAGTTTTGATGCATTATTGTGGTGCTAAAATAATGAATACAAGTTTAAATCTGGATCGGGAAGTATTATATTAAATGTGCTTCTATCTGCATAAATCCTGCTAACATTATTGCTGGGTGGAGAGCTACACACAAAGGGCACCGGATATGCTAATACCCTTAGCATCCTTAGCACCTAGTTTACATTTCACTTGAGGCCATTATGACCTCTTTACCTCATGTTTGTCAATGTTTTAACATCCTACGGCGCGTGTGTGGTGTCTAAACGTATGAAGGACTTTTCTGAGGGCACATAATCCGCGTAAACGTCGATTTTTGTTGAGTTTTCCGACGCTAACCCCTGAGCTAACTACGTGCTAAGTGCTAACAGCTCTAACTACCGGTCAGTGTCAGGCTCTGGGACAGCTGACTGCTATGTTGCAATCACGCGGGGGAGGAATACCACGCCGCACATTGCCAAAATACAATACTTAGAAATCTTTTTTAGTCAGTGTACAACGCTGACACTGCTAACTCCCGTTTCCTCCCCCGTGGCGTCCGGCTTTTCCACAATATGGCTCACCTAAATGGCATTTGTTCAGCGGATAAATGATGCCAAGCTCGTCAAAATGGCGAAACCCAGGGAGGAGTTAGTCGACTAAATCCTCGTTTTCTGACCCCCAGATCAAGCTGAAATGTTAACAAACGGGTTTATTGATTAGAAAAATGGACCCACTCTGTCTGTGCACGACATGACTGGTATTGGCTTTGTGTTTATCAAAGCACTGCGAGCAAAAACACTCCCCAAAATGGCGCAAGGAGTTTAGTAAACGATGTGTATACTAAGTAGCAGTGCACTGTAGTTTCCCCATAGATTTGCATTGGATGGCTGGTGGAAGTGTGATCAGTTCTTGAAAAATTATTTGCTCCAAACATGACCACTTCACAAAGCTCCATATTATGCTGTTTTCTGATCTATGTTGTAATGTTGTTTCCTCATCATAAACATATCTGGAGTTGTGTTTTGTTTCCTTCACAAATATTTAACACATAAACCCTGCATATTTAGGTTGACCTGCTCTCTCAAACAGAAAAGACTACTTGTGTTGTCATGTGGTCCTCTGAGTTTTTAAATTCCATATACTTTCATTATTATAATTTCATCCCTGGAATTTCCCATCTCTTCTAAGCAGAACATAAAAACTGTGTAGCTGTTAACTTGAAAACTACCACTACATTGACATCGCACGATGGAACGTGGCATTTTGCACTTTCAGGATGCAGACAAATTAATTATAAAGGATTACTCAAACGTGCATGGATGAAAATAATCTGTGTATGTTTTTGATGAGGTAATAACATTGTAACTAAAAGGTCAGAGGACTCAATTTTGCGTAATATAGGACTTTTTTGTTTGTTTGTTGATCGCACCGTGATACATCATTGACAAGATATGTGGTCAATAAGAGGATATCACAATGGTTGTGATGTGTGAAATATTAATTACAATGTTGAGTATGCAGCCTGTAATCATAAACCTACCTAAAAGATTATTTGAAAATTAAAAGATATTGTATATTAAACAAAGGTATCTCAAAGGTCCTGTTTTATGTAATATTTACTCTTGTGAGCTTTAAGTCACGTTAGAATGTTGTTACCTCATCAAAAACACACCTGGAGTTGTTTTGTTTCATTCACACATTTGAGTAACTACCTTTTATTAACCTTTATTATTAGCCTACATCTCATACCGTTAAAATTTTCAGTTTCTTTGTGATGCTGTAGTATTTTTCAAGTTAACAGCTACTTTTTTTACCTTCAGTTCAGCAAAAGATGGGTAATTCCAAATTTGCAGTAGTCCAAATTATTCTAGTGAAGGACTTTAAAAACACAGTGGAGCACTTCCTGTATTACCTTTTATTTAAGACAAGGCCAGTGCACATAAAACATTATTCTCAGAGAAAAAGGATGCTCTGCACCAGATTTAGCTACAAGCTACTTTCCATTTACAGTCTTTGGACAGGTACAAAATACATCAAACAAACTATTTACATGATATTTTGAGAGAAGAACTCTGCCTAAATATGCTGGGCCTGTATGGTAAACATGTAAATGTGTGAGCAAAACACAACTTTATGTATGTTTTTGATGAGGTAACAGAATCATAACAGAATCCTATTTAGTTTTACTGCCATTCTCAGTGAACAAAATTCGCAATTTAGGAATGTGCATCAGGCAATATGGTGCAACATAAAACAATGTTAATGTTATGATAAAAGCATGCCAACAATAAGATAGATGAAAATATACAAAATTTGTCCTTTGCTGGCACAATTTAACACATTTCTGATGGATGTGTAAAAATATTACCTCTTTATTGTCTCTGAGGGATAGTGGTTGGTTCTTATCCTCAAGTGAAATGTTTTTCTTCTACTGACTGGCAGGGCATCTGGTTTAAGACTGTTGTGTTGGCCTACTAACACACAATGCTTAGTAAGAGGTCTTATGTGAGGTATTTGCAACTTGTTTATGTTGCAGTATAAATTTTTATGTTCTTTTTTTTTTTTTTGCAGATAGAGTATGTCAGCAGCAGCAAGGCCTGTCCCTCTGGGTGCCCTTCCAGAACGCTGCCACTGCTGTCACTAATCTATACAAAGGTGAGTGTCACACAGTATGGTTTTAGGCCATAGGTGGAATTCACAGAGGAAGTATTCGCTATGTTTATTTGCACATAAAGAAAACAACATTTCTGCCCTACTCTAAAACAGAGACCTGGGTAATATAGTTTAAAAATCCTGATTGGGAAGTTGTTAATTGAATTTTCTTACCTGAAAGCACAACTGGACATCATGTGTTGCATTTACTTTTGAGCACTGCTGAATATACTCTATAGTTGGACAGATTTCTTGTGATTCGTTTTGTGACCTGTATGCCATAGACTGCATAAAGGAGTGGCTAGCAGTTAATTTGGAGCAGTTTCATATTTGGAATTCCATGCAAGAGTATCATAGCAACCAAAAAGCCAATCAGGAGCCAGGGTGTTAAAGGTAAAAGGCCCTTCTAGTCTACGCTGCTGGTTTGGCTGAGGCGGGTTCTAACAATGCCCTCAATCAAACTTGTTGCTACAACTAGCAGGAGCAACCCTGGGGGAAATGGCCAACTGATTAGTCTGTTATTAATGTTGACTTTTTTCAACTTGACAAACCTGATGTGATGTGCAGTTTTTTCATTAGCGGGTGCATGTTGATTGTGCTGTGATAGCGCTCTGAAGGGGGCAAAGGGAGGTTAATACTTTGTTTTCTGTCAATATAACATTTTCAAATCAATAAAAGGTAACATTTAGGTAACATTTAGATATTTGTTAGCAGTTAATACCTCACAAAAGTAAAATGCCTCCTCTTTAAGACCAAAATAATGAGTCTGATGGGAACAGTTACAGAGGGATGTGAAATCTGATAGAAATGGAATGATGCATGAGTACTGCATACGTACTGCACACATGCTAGAGTACTGATTGTGTTTCCCCTCAGAGAGCACAGAGGCCCGTCAGCGTAGCTATGACCTGGGCATACACTTGGGCTGCCAGCGCAGAAATAAGGAGGTGATCGCCTGGGTTAAGAAACGCAGAAGAACCATCCGGCGTGAAGACCTCATCAGCTTCCTGTGTGGAAAAGCCCCGCCTCCTCGGACAGCTCGAGCCCCGCCCAGAGTGTCTGTGGTGTCAGCTAATCGGCCCGCCCCCCCAGAGACAGGAAGCTCTGTGGAGACAGACCTGCAGCCTTTCAGAGAGGCCATCGCACTGCATGGTTAGTACTGTAACCTTATGTGTAGCTGCTGGTGGCTGTGGTTATGTGGGCTGGGGCAGCTCACATTAAAGGACTTATACCGTAGTCTTAATTGTGCCATTGTACAATCAAAGTAGATTTTAAATTGGGTATACACAATTCATCCTGATCTCTCTCAAATCTGTGGGAAATGTGAACAGAATCATGACTTAAACACAGAACACCCAGTTGTATAATCTCAACACATACCTGTTCGTGTCATGTGTAAATGTGCTGCTTTAACAGCAGGCTTCTCCTGAACAGAACACAGTAGCTCTCTGAACACAAGCAGAAGCATGTTCTGTTGACGTGACATGTTGTTGTTCCTCTCCAGGTCTCAGTGGTGCTATGGCAAGTATCTCTGTGCGCTCTGGCCCCCCTGGCTCCCCAACTCACCCCGCTCAGTCCCTGGGCCGGCGCAGGAATGGCCTACACGATGTGGACCTGAACACTTTTATTGCCGAGGAGATGGCGCTCCATTTGGATTCCACTGCCAACCGCAAACGTGGCCCTGCCCCCTGTAGTGACGTCATCACAGACTCCCCCACTCATAAACGCAACAGGATGCTCTAGACTCTGCTCCTGTGCCATGGACAGCTGATGAAGACTCATGCCTTGGCTCTGATACTGATACTAATAATAAAGTCTGACTTTAGATGACACGCGTTCTCTTCTCTGCCCCTGGTCTGAGCCTGGCCTCCTCTGGAGCTCTGCCCTGGACATCTTCTGTGGAGGGTCTTCTGGGGCTCTCATCTGTCACAATGGTAACACATTGTTCTTAAGCTGAGGAGCAGCCCAGCTTCCACCAACCAGTGTTCACTTCCATGCAGCACAGCAGCCAGTGTTCTGGCTTGTGCTTCCACAGCATGATAAGTTTGTCAAGACGCACAAATGCAAATGAAACATAGAAGTTTAGTTCTGTCCTTGGGACTTGTCAGTTTATCTCTCCATAATGTATAACAATGCTGTGCAAGATTCCAAGTTTCATGTACAAACAAGGTTTAAAAAGTATACATCCAAGTATGAGTATACAACATTCAGATTAATTTATTAATTTGTGTGAGTAAGTCTGATGTTTCTAATTAGTGATGTCAAACATGTCTCTAACCTGGTACTTGAAATGTGATGTGTAATCAGTTGCTAACTGGTCTGGGACTAGCTCAACCGTATTCTAATGTAGCAGTCTTTGAACAGTGTGTCCACTGGTTTAAAGGCCTTATATTGGACATGTCATCACTTACATTATACAGATTATTGCAGCTGTTTGGCAAAAATGCATACAACGTTGCTCTTGCTTTATTGTAAAATAAAAGTCAAATATCACCATTCTGCCTTTTTCTATATAACAATCATTATCTGAAATGAACATGACTTGGTAATGGGTGAATTACTGGACACCTGAGTAGCATCCTGCTTGGTGGAAACTGGGCACACCCCCTCCTGCTCTGCCAGGTCAAAGGAGCAGGCCTATCCCCAAATGTTGCCCTCTGAGTGGGCAACTCTGAGCAGACAGCCCCTCACGCTTGTACCTGCTGCTCCACTTGCTCCACCACTCCACTGCCATCATCGGACTCTGCCTCTGCCGACGCTGCTAAACCCGCTCCCAATACTCTGTGTGTGCGTATGTGTGTGTGAGAGAGTGTGGGCTACTGGGCTTCAAATTCCACAAATAGTTTTTAAAATTCTGTATTAGTAGTTGTAACTTGTAGCCAGGGCTGCACACTATGACACAATGCCATTATCTTCTGGATGATTATTACAATAATTTGAGCATTATAATTGTAACAGTTACATTTAAATATAATTCATGCAAGATTATGGCATGCCTCTGTCAGATGGAATACTGCAGGGAAAAATTAAAAGTGGAACTAAACACCTACACTCCACCTACACTCCGATGGAGCTGATGAACTGGGAAGTACCTGAAGGACTAAGGGCAAAGGGGGATTTTTATTATTATTTTTTAAACCAGAAAGCACCTAGTTTGCACAAAAAAATTACCAAAAAGAACAAAGAACAGCAGACAATTCTATTCAAACACCATATACACAGTTTAGTAGCAAAACTGAAAACGTCATTTAGTGTTTAATTCCGTTTTAACATTACTACAATACACTTTTTTCCCATATATTTGAAATTTTGTCATAGTATGCAGCCTTTCACAACTTGACTAACACTAGTGATGACAAAGCAAGACGTTGTCGGGTTATTGTTATTGGTTTATTTTAGTTTTCAACAAAGCTTTACTCTGCAGCTCAGTACGGCATAGTTTGGAACTGTTTGGGATGGGCATCTGGAGTAATAATCTGCCAAATGATCACACAAGAGCAGTCTATTGAAAGTTTGATGATGGCGACTGGGATAAACATGTAAAAACATTCAAGTGCCAATAATGTTTTTATATTTAAAGATGGACTCACTGTGTCATTCCGTGTTAAAGGGCCCATATTACACTATCAATGATCCATGTTCTATTGCAGGGGTGTCCAAACTTTTTTCATCAAGGGCCACATATCTAAACACAGACCAAGCAGAGGGCTGATCACTGTATTGCTCAATACAGTGAATAATTCAAATATGTGCATGTTTAACAGGTTAGAATGAGCCATCAGTCTTTATTCATGCTAAGATCCTTAAAACCACACACTAAATATTCAATATTAGTTTTAATCATGGTAGATTTTCAAAAAACCTGCAGTAAAAAGTAAATTTTTATTTGATGTAAGGTAATTTGGGCCAAGTCACCTGGAAGCCTGAGGGCCAAGAAAAATTTGTCCAAGGGCCGCATTTGGCCCACGGGCTGTAGTTTGGACATGCCTGTTCTATTGTTTCCTCATCACAAACAGACTAGGAGTTGTGTTTTGTTTCATTCATACATGTTTAACACACACAAACCCTAAAAGTAACCCTAAAAGTGCATAAAAGTTCCAGATTTGATCCCAGGGTCACAAAGGCCTTTCTATGTGGAGTTTGCATGTTCTCCCCGTGTGGGTGTGTTTCCTCTGATTTCCTGTACCAACCCAAAACACGCACAATAGGCACAATCCTCCAGCCAAGGTAGTATTGACTTAACATGGGTCCCTGGGCATAGCATTGCAGCAATCACTACTCCTGATGAGGTGCCCCAGTGACATTGAAGGATGGGTCAAATGCAGAGGACAAGTTCCCTTAAAGAGAGCTTTGGAGATTTGAAGACTAATAATAAAGGATTAGTCAAATGTGTGAATGAAGCGATACCATTCCAGGTATTTTTTTGATGAGGGAACAACATTCTATCATGGCTTAAAGCTCTTGAGAGTCAATTTTGTGTAATATAGAACCGATAAATTGGGATTTTAAAACTGAATGATATGCACCTTTTTGAATCCATGGTCCATGCATTTCAGAACATGTTTGTAGAAGTCTAAACTACATGATTAAAACAGAACTAGCTCATTTTAAACAGGCTGCAGCGGTCCAAAGTTATTCCGCACTTACCTTATGCATTCTGAACATCCTAATCATTCACAGTGATGAGTTTAGACGCCCTTTTCATGACTCTTAGAGAACTAACTAAAAACAACTAGCATGCAAACATGGATTTAGATTATTCTTGCAACCCACTTCTCCAGTCTAGACCTCTATGAACCTGCTCTGAAAACATGCACGTGTTTATAGACTGAAATTTCTTCTCATATTAGACGTCTGCATTTGACTCAACTTTCAACATGATCAGATTTAAACCCAAATATTAAATCCCAAGTAAAATCCTTCATGTGGATTTTCTGATGAAATGTTCCCTTTGAGAACTAACTGATAACAAAACGATGCCGTATTAAACTGCGCTGTACTGCTTTGTGTTTTTAATTTAATTTTAAATTTCAAATGACATGTTTACACCTTGCCCGTTCATTTCAAATCCTCTGTGGATAGAGGTGGGTAGTATTCAGTTCATAGACTGTATAAAGAAGTGGACTAAATGAGTGTGACGTCACCCATGGCGTTCGGCTCCAGTCAAATGAAGCTCATGAGGGTAGCAGTTACAGGGGTGAATTTGAAGCTGAGTTCTATATTAGGAATAGGAATTTATTTACTTGAGGATCATGTAGAATGGATTACTACAGACAATTTAAGATCACAATGACGAGGCTCATTGCGGCAGTTACAATTTTTCAATGTTAAGTCAATTGGAACCAGAGTAAATGGAGCCAAAAGCGCCCCCATGCACACTTCCTATCTGGAACGCGTCTAGTGGGTTGGCTATGTCCATTTATATATACAGTCTATGATTCAGTTACTAATTTACTCGAGTAACTTTGTGTTGTATCTTTTGAAAACACCAAAGTATGTGCATTATTATTTCCTATTTTATTACATTAACTTCAAATGATAAACCACATGTCACTTAACAGCAGTTACTCTTACTTGGCTAGCACTTTCCCCAAATGCTTTTTTTACTCTTACTTGAACCACTAATTCTACTCGAGTAATGTTATTTGAAGTAACACACTACCCACCCCTGTCTGCATCTCTAGTCTTCTGCTGGATGCCCTCCTCCTCCTCCTGTCTAGCCACGTTTCCATGACATCATTTGTGTTGGTTGATCCGGTGGAATCTATTGTAAATATAAGGCGAGCTGGTGCTGTCTATTGTGGTACATAGTGTAAAAAAAACTCCTTGTACAATCTGACATTAAAAACAATGCAAGTGTTATGTGTGGCTCTTTTGTCCTTATTATTTGTATTCACATCAGATTTAAAGGGCCACTATTTTCTGATCTGCCTTCTAATGCAGTGTTCTGATCACAAACATATGTCTGCATATTTCTCTCAAATTGAAAATACTTTTCCAACTTGTGATGTGGTAATACAGGAAGTGTTCAATTTTTTCAATGTCATACATCCTCAGTCATTTGGCTAATTTCAGCCCTGGAATCGCCAATCTCAACTGAACTAAAGGTAAAGCTGTTAACTTGAAAACTACTACTACATGACATCATGAGGTGGAACAGAGCATTTTGAGCTTTGGAGATGTACACAGACAGACTGATTATGGACTACTTAAGGGTGACCAAATGGCCTTTTCCCCCCAAAATGTCAGTTGACAGCTTTGAGCCATTCACGCTCAACAAACAAATGTTCATTGGACCAGTTTACTAAATCTACTAAAGATTCAATGTGTTGTTTAAATTGTACAAGCTAATTAGATTTTCTTTAATAGGCCAATAGCAAAAACTTATAGAGGAATTATCAGACTATGACACCTGGTGCTCTACTGCGCATGTCTCCCACAGAAAGAGCCACTGTCCTGTCTGCTATCATGTCAGTGTCTTGTAGGATTTCTGCAGATTTCAGGCTCTCCTGGGGGGATCAGGTTTGAGTGGATGTGCAGCAAATAAGGCCAGAGCCATTTCTTCTCGTCATTTAAGCACTCACCTTCATTTAAAGTGTATGGGTCTTGAAGACATATCCCGCTCACAAATGTTAATTTGGCATCATAACTGATTATCAAACAGTGATAAAGTGCACTGATAACATCACTAGATAATTTTGTAACTTCATGTTAACCGCACAGGCAGCAGAACTTTTGGCACTCAGGCTTCGCGATCATCCACTGTGTTGATAAACTAATAATCCGTCTCTAGAATGAACAACAGCAATGTTTCACTTTTTTCCATGGGTCAAGTGCAGACGAATGCCACACAGCGACATGTGGTCACATGAGGCAGTGTCTCACCCGTCTTTTGCGGATACAAAATCTGCTCAGTGTAAGAATAAATAAACACAGTTAAAAAATTCATGTTTACATCTCAGTGTCACTAAAACTGTGTGTATGTTTTTCTCAAAGTCTGCAAACAGAGAGAGCAGGATCCAATAGTTATGGTAGAAGAGCAAGCCCTAAAAGTGGTGCAAGAATACAAGTATTTAGATGTCACAATGGACTGTCAATTATCATTTAAAAAGCATATAAAATGTGAGAAACAAAATAAAACTTAATTTGGTGAATTTTAAACACACTACTGTCTGATGAGCTGGAGCCAGGGCAAACAAGAGCACACTGCTGCCTGTAGAGAGGCTCTACAAACTCTGAAAACATTAGATCAAAAATCAAACTCATATCATCACTCTAAAATTATGAGAAAATATACATTTTTAAATTGGGAAACATAATTATTTACTCAGACATTATTCTGGTCTATAATAATATCTGGTCTCCATGATCTTGCTCCATCCCATTAAAAGAGTTCATACAATACAACACTCGAGCAACGAGCAGAGGACACTGTAAAATCCCATTCACAAAGACTTCATTTGGATGGTCGGCCTTTTCAGTTCACACCACACAGTGGTAGGTTGGTGGTTCGAATCCAGCTCTCGACATAAACATCACAGGTTGAGCGGTCAGATTCACTGACCCACAGGTTGGCTAGTGTGATTCCAGCTCCCACAGATGAATGCTGTCGTTGTGTATTTGGGCAAGACACTTAACCCGCAGGGAAAGCATACATGGAGCGACATAACGAAGTGGCGGGCATAGTGTACAGAAACATCTGTGCAGAGTATGGGCTGGAGACCCCAGGATCAAGGTGGGAAACACCTCCAAAGGTTGTGGAGAATGACCGAGCCAAGATCTTGTGGGACTTCCAGATACAGACTGACAGGATGGTGATGGCGAACCAACCAGACATAGTGGTGGTGGATAAGAAACAGAGCAGAGCCGTGGTGGTGGACATCACAATACCAAGCGATGGTAATATCAGGAAAAAGGAACACGAGAAACTAGAGAAATACCAGGGGCTCAAGGAGGAGCTGGAGAGAGCCTGGAAAGTAAAGGCATCAGTGGTGCCTGTGGTGATCGGAGCACTCGGGGCTGTAACCCCCAAACTGGAAGAGGCTACAACAGATACCAGGAAAAACAACGGACATCTCAGTCCAGAAAAGTGCAGTACTGGGAACAGCAAAGATACTGAGAGGAACTCTCAAGCTCCCAGGCCCGAGCTGAATGAGGGTGAGAGAGACCTACCACCGTGGAAGGTGAGAAACACATTATATATATATATATATATATATATATATATATATATATATATATATATATATATATATATATATATATATATATATATATATCTGTGCGTTGAGTCAGTCATAACACCATCAACATTCATGAGCCTACTGGCCACACCTAGTGTAAGCAGCTGCTCGGCCTGTTCACACTGTTGGCAATGAATGGAACTGGTTTGTTTAGTTGCATCAATAGAGGGATTATCAGACTATGTCACTTTGTGCTCTACTACGCATGTCTCCTGCAGAGAGAGCTGCTGTCCTGTCTGTATCATGTCAGTGTCTCATAGGATTTCAGAAGATTTCAGACTCTCTCAGGGGCGGGGTTAATTGTTTTGATCAGGTTGGATGTCAGGCTACTGAAGTTTGAGGCGTTTTTCTCATCATTTATGCACTCACCTGCATTTAACATATAAGGGTTATTAAAACATATTCCACTCACTAATGTTCATTTAGCATCAGAACTTATTTTATCGCACGGCAATTAACAGTTTTAGTGCTGACAGCGCTAGTAACTTCATTACCGCACAGACAGTGACTCTTTTGGACTCAGGCTGTGCACACATCTACTGTGTTACACAAATAATCCATCTATAGCCTGACACAAGAGGAGAATATTCCTGGAAAGGAGGCTTCTACACTAACTTTCTTTCAGTTAAAAATTTTAGGGGTACACACACAAAAAAAAAAAAAAACACACAAAAAATGGGGGCACAAGTAAGTTTTCATTTTGAAAGTTTATTACAGAATTCTGACTGTATGTTTCCTGCATGACACTGGCAGGTGGGTTAGACCCTTGAGTTATGGATCTGCTCAAGGTTTCTTCCTACAGACTAACATAAAAATCAACTTAATTGAATTAAAAAATAAAAAATAAAAATTTAACTACAGACTGTTGAAATTTAGACAAAAGTCATGTCATAATTGGTAGGCCAGGATTTGTAATCAGGTCAACGTGACTTCTTCTATGTCCTGCATTCACACCTGCACAACTGAACTGGGCCATGGCCCAGTGACGTCATCACATGCCGCTGTTTGTTTACATGTGGCAAAGCAAAGCTAACGCTTTAGTGGAGAAAGAAGTCCAGTGGCATGAAATATCTATTAATGTGTCTTATGTGCATCCTCTTATGAAACACACTCCTCCTTCACTTTATGAATATAAAACCAGGGCAGAGGAGTGAGGACAGACAGAGAAGTTGCTCCTCGTGTGAATAACACAGCACACAAAGGGCTTGTATAGTAAAGTCAACCATGTGCACATACCAACCGGGCCAAAGTCCCAACCGGGCCAAAGTCCCAACCGGGCCAAAGTCCCAACCGGGCCAAAGTCCCAACCGGGCCAAAGTCCCAACCGGGCCAAAGTCCCAACCGGGCCAAAGTCCCAACCGGGCCAAAGTCCCAACCGGGCCAAAGTCCCAACCGGGCCGTGCCTGGGGATGGTTCGATTGCGCTCATATTGGACAAACGTACCAAAGCATTAGGGGGCTTTTTGGGCAAGGTTCTAAAGTCTTGGTGTGAGTGCACCTTAATGTGTGATACATTTTAGAACATTTAATGCTTTGATGCTGTGTGCAGTGATCTCAAATTTTGCAGAGCTTTTCAGATGGTTTTAATGTTTGATACATTTTAGAACGTTGTTTTGGCTGCTTTGTTATTTGACACATTTTAGAATGTTTAACACAGTGCTTTCCTTATTGTGGGCTGCAAGAAGCACTCGTACTTGTGTGTCTATTTCTAGTTTGTTTGTTGCAGAAATATTTGCTCGAAAATGCTAGTGAAATGGACACACTGTGGAGCCCTGCTGGAAAGACAAGGTCAGGAGCTCAGTAGGAACTCGACTATACTGAGTTTTTCAAGAGTTCTTTCAGTGTTATATGTAGCATTATATGTTGGTTACACTGTTTGCTCTGAAGACTGCTGAGTGTTTGGCTTCATTAAGTTATTATTTCCTGGATAACAGACCACTGTTAAAGGATTATGAATGCTAACTAGAGTGCTTAATGCTTTGCACAGTCCTGGGTCACATGGTCATAAACAGTTTTAGTGCGAAGACAGCAGCACTAGCTAGCATTACAACTTCATGTTAACTGCACAGACAGTGGTGTTTTCTGCATTCAGGCTGCGCGCATCCCCTGTGTTGATAAACAAATAATCCATCTATAGGGATCATTATTTTTAATAAATCCAAGATAGGGACACTTGGCTGCCAAGAGCCAATCATATGCTGAACTGCACGAACAGCGTTCCAGTCATGTTGCAGCTTCGTGCTCCAATGTTCTTCTCATGCTGTTAGTGAAGGAATGTGTTTGTGCAGGGTCAAAATAACCCGTGAGAAAAGCGGCTTCTAAAGTTTTATTTTTATACAAAGCAGCCAACTTTTCAAGCCATTATAATCCGTAATATAATTATAATAAGAATGTTAAGAAGGCTCACAAGTATCATGTCATCTGAAAATTGCATGATTTTGTTACCTGGCTGACTATTCCAGCATTAATTTGTAAACAGGGTGAACAAAAAAGCAATGAACTTGCTGCACCTTGTGGCAATTTTTGGCTTTGAATAAAGTATAGACCATCACTTGTTGTGATCTATTTGAGAGAGTAAAAGAGAGAGTTAAACCATTTCACAAGTGCAGGGCTTACATTC